AGGTGTCTTCCCCTTCCTTTCCCTATAAAACACAGCCCTCCCTCCTTCCCAATATTCACACTGTCTCATCTTCGTTTTCCCTTCTCTCTGTAAATTCCCCTTGGCTCTCAAGAGCCCCAAAGTTTGTCACTTTCTCCTTTCTTTCGTTGCAAGAGCTCGAAGAGCTCGAATTTTTGGATCTGATTTTGTTAGATTTTATATGGGTGTTAAAGTTCTCAGTCCCCAGAATTGCCTCAAAGACTCTCTCTCACCTCAAGTACTGATGAATACAAATCGAAGCCCTCACCCTAATCGGGTCAGAACTTCCCCACAAGCTGACCGGAGTAAGCGAAGGCCCACCAGGCCCAACAACAACCCACCCCCGCCGGTCCAGAAACCCGCTGCCCTCAAGAACGTCGTGATGGGCCAGGTCAAAATACTAAAACGCGGCGAGGAAATCCCCAAAGCGGCCCCGATTCAGCGACCATCGAAGCAGTATCTCCATCCCCAAGTTCCGGATCTCGGAACCACCAGCCGGATGGGTCCCGACCCGAAGATGGTTCCGATTCCTCCGAAGCAGAGCAAGCTCCCGGAGCCGAACTGGGCTTCAGGGTTCTACGCCGGGTCGTCGTCGTGCATAGCTGCGCCTCCCCCGAGTTCCCTACCTCTGCCGTCGTTCTTCGCAAAGAAGAGCGCCCCTTCAAGCACCGATGAAGCTGCAAGCGTGCTGCTTAAACTTCTGCGGCTCAATTTGTCGTAGATGGGTCGCCGGTCCATGGCGGACCAAGCATGTGCAGCAGTGTAGAGACCGCGTGTGGCTAATGTTCGTGTTGTGTGATTATCATCGCCCTTCCCCTTATTTTTTCGTGGGAAGATAGATGGATGAGGTCACAATTCGACCTAACGCTTTTTCTTCTTTTTAGATTAATTTATGGGTTAGGGATTTTAATTATGTGCAGCAGTAGTTGGTAACTTGGGTTGGCTCCAATTTTTAGCATTTTGTTTTCAATTAAATTAGGGTTGGGTTGCTTTTATTTTTGTGTGGTAGTATTTAAGGTTGAGAGGTATAGGTTTTTAGGAGCCGTTTCTGTTAAATAAGGGTATATTTTGTGTACATGTATCCACAAGTTTTTACGATCTAGTTGCAAGCGATTTGTTAGTCTAGTTTGGTTTTTAATTCCAGTGGTGTTTTGTCTACTCTTTTGCACTCTTAATTTCCTTTATCTTGTTGAGATTAAATTGGGGTTTGGAGATGGCCGTGTTGTGTATGTATGAGGTGTTTGTGGGAATTGACTTCTGGGAAAGTTGAGTTGCTGAGAGATTATGATCAACACGGGTTCTAACTTGTAACGTCTTGGTGAAGGTAGTAAATCAAATGTTTACCTCAGAATTTCACTGGACTCTTGTCTGGTTTTGTTGAACTTGTATAGTTATTTATAGAGACTTTGTGGTTTGGGTTGGGTTGGGTTGGAGCTATTCAAAAGCAAAAGGACAAAAGCAGTTTTGTTTTCTCATGGGAAATCATTTCCAATGTTTTTTTTTAACAAGAGATGAGATATGAATGATTCCTTTTTTATGTCCGGTAATATTAGGAAAGGAAAAAATTATTTTATTTTATTTTTTATGTTTGGTTTGTGTATGAATATAAAACAAATCTAATATAAATTATACCCATTTTAAAAATATGAGTGGAATAAAATAAAAGAATAGTCAAAGTGGTAAATTGTGAATTGGACAAAATAGTCATACAAATGTGCATTTAATGCTCACCTTAGGGGTTGGAGAGTATATTTTTCCCTAGTTTCTCATGTGTCAGGCAATCATTTTTCATGCCTCGACTTATTAAACATGAGAAATTATGATTTCCTTATCCCAAGGCTCATTTTCCATGAACCAAACACACTATAAGGTCTCGTTTAGTTCAAAATTTAAGGGATTGGGAATGAGTTTGAAATTGCATTCACATGTTTGGTAAGTGCACTCTTCGAAATGGAATTATGGACTTGAGGGTATTGACTTCCCATGTAAAGGGAATTTCATACCCTTGGCTGGGCTTGGGAATTTGTTTTCCCCCACATGGGAAAGCATTTAATTTGAATTTTTATGGCTAACTTACCCATATTCTATTTTTAAAATACCATATTTTACTCTTAGAAAAACTCTTTGTATTTATTTCTCTTTAATTTAAAAAAAGAAGAAGAACAAGATAAGTATATTGTTGGAAAGATGAACAATTTTAATTCCTAATATTCTACAAACCGATGAGAATGTGATAAAATGACCTTTCATGATCTTCATTTCCCAACTTTTCCAAACATGGAATTGAGCATCCTCTATTCCCAACTCATGAGATTAAACATGGGAAGTTCATTGTCAAGAAGTTCAATCTGCAAACCAAATGGATTATAAGGGTAAACAAAAGCAGATGACTTCCCAAAAACATAATCCATGTCGATGGAAGGGTAAATTGAAACCCATGCTTTGCTAGGGACAATTATGGTGGTTGTTATTGGTTCTGTTGCTGCTGGTCTTTGGATGCTGAGAAGAAAAAAAAAAAAGGAGTTGTGATAAACACAATAATAAGGAATTTTGGTAACACATTTTATGTGGTTCCAATAATAAGGTTACACGCATTTAAAAGTTGGGTCCCTTCCCTTCTTCTTCAAAAAGAAAAGTTTAAATTTTAAAGTCACTTTAAAAAAAAAGAAATGTGTTTTAGGAAGCCTAAAAACAACATAATATCTAATTTCGGGCACTTTCTTCCTCAACAAGAAAAGTTTGAATTCTAAATCACTAAGAAAATAATAATAATACCAAAATGTGTTTTGGGAAACGTAATCGTTTTCCTAAAAAGAAAAGGAAAGGAAACCTAATTGCGATTCGTGAAGGGAAACAATAATGATGGCTCAAAAACAGTGTTAGGAAGGAATAGGAAACCCCCAAGGGCGGTTGATGAAAGTGGATTCTATTATACACTACCGCCTTTTGTCGCTTTTCCTACTCCTATTGCCGTCAGGTCTCTTACCCTATAAAACTCAACCCTCCTTCCTTCCCAAACTTCACACATTCACATTTCTCTCTGTAAATTCCCAAGGTTTTGAATTTCCTCCTTCTCTTTCGTAGCAACAGCTCGAATTTTTGGATCTGATTTTGTGAGATTTTAGATGGGTGTTCAAGTTCTCAGTCCCCACAATTGCCTCAAAGACTCTCTCTCACCTCATCAAGCGCTGATGAATTCCAATCGAAACCCTAACCCTAATCGGGTCAGAACCTCTCCCCAAGCCGACCGGAAGAAGCGAAGGCCGACCCGGCCACCCGCTCCGGTCCAGAAACCCGCCGCCCCAAAGAATATCGTCATGGGCCAGGTCAAAATCCTTAAACGCGGCGAGGAAATCCCCAAAGCGACGCCGGTTCGGTCACCACCGAAGCAGAATCCCAAACCCCAGGTTCCGGATCTCGGATCCACCAGCCGGATCGGTCCTGACCCGAACAAGGTTCCGGTTCTTCCGAAGCCGGCCAAACTACCGGAACCCAACTGGGCTTCCGGGTTCTACGCCGGGTCGTCGTCGTGCATAGCTGCGCCTCCCCCAGAGTCCCTACCTCTGCCGTCGTTCTTCGCAAAGAAGAGCGCCCCTTCGAGCACCGATGAAGCTGCAAGCGTGCTGCTGAAGCTTCTGCGGCTCAATTTGTCGTAGATGGGTCGCCGGTCCATGGCGGACCAAGCATGTGCAGCAGTATAGAGACCCCGTCTGGCTAATGTTCGTCGAATTGTCTAATTCTCGCCCTTCCCCTTATCTTTTCGTGGGAAGATAGATGGATGAGGTCACAATTCGACCTAACGCTTTTTCTTCTTCTTAGATTAATTTATGGGCTAGGGATTTTAATTATGTGCAGCAGTACCAAGGCTTAATTTTTCTTGTTTCTTTAAATTTGGTTTTTGTTTTTAATTAAATTAGGGTTTGGTTGCATTTCCTTTGTGTCTCACAGTACAAGTATAAGATTAGATTAGGGTTGGAAGGTATAGTTTTTCAGGAGCTGTATCTGTAAAATTAGGGTATATCTGTGTCCTAAGTTGCTTATAGTTGCAAATATGTTATCAGTGAAATTTGGTTTTAATTATATTGGTGTTTTGTTTAATTATATTCGTATTTGATGGAATTACAAATTGAAACAAACAGAAATGGGGTTTGATTTGTGGGAATTGACTTCTGGGAAAAGTTCAATTGCTGTGAGATTATGATGAACAACAGGGGTTGTAAAGCTAGTAAAAATCAAATGGGTTACAACAGTGCTTTTGGTTGGAGCTGTCAAAAGCAAAAGCTAAAAAGCAAGTCCTTTTTTTTTTCCGTTTTCTTAAAGATAAAGAAAAGCAGATGGCTTCCCAATAAACAGAATCACCTTTTTAGGTCGATGGAGGGCTCTGCTGCTCAGTTAGGGACAGTCATGGTGACTTTACTGGTTTTGCTTTTGGTCTTGGTAAGGCCCAAATGTTGAATGCTGAGCTATGAGTTTTCTGGACCAAAGCTTCAAAAGACGGTTGCAGAACTTGTTTTCAGTTTCAGAAATTATGAAGCTTACAGGAGGTGTGAAAAATGTTTTGTCTTGTCCAAAATCACTCTCAAACAAACTCTACTTGAATGAGTAAAGGTCAAAAAATTTATACCAAAAAAAAATTAATATGGAGGTGTGGTATTTTTTCTTTTAATTCATATTTAGTTTTATAGCTTTGTCATATTTAGGTTATGGGTTGGGTGCACTAGCAGACCTGTTAAAGAGTAATCCTCGCCAAAAAAACCATTGTTGGTGCTTGAAATTGCCCATTTGCTCTTTATTTCCATCTTCAACATTTAAGTAAATGTCTTTGTCTTTTTTACTTTCTTTTATTTTTATATTACTTCATTTACTTGAGTTTACAATGTAAATAAGGAAGTACCTCCCATTTGGATTCAAATAAAAATACTAGAAAATCAAATTCTCCCCAAATCAAAATTTGAAAAATCAGTTTTAGTGCAAAATACGATTTAGGCTAAAAATGATAGCTCATTAAGTCAATATATACTTCATAATAAAATCCTATAAAATCAAGTTTTTTTATTTGATGTGTAAGAAATAAAAGCAGCCAAAAATTATCTTAAGAAAATGATTATTCCGAAAAATCATTTTTCATACTTAGTCAATATTTTTACATATAACAATTTTTCACGTATGATGCATGAAGGGACCTAAGGTCAATTTAGGTAAAAAATTCTTAGATGTTCAATCCACAAAGAGTTTTTAACCTTTCAAAATTACATTTCCGCTAAAAAATTCTTGAGTCCGCTAGTGATTGGGTGCACCAGCAATTAGTGTGCTAAAATGTTCGGTCCATGAAACTTGGTGATGCGGTTTGCAGTTTGGACAGCCTAAAAATTGATCAGTACATCAAGAACCCCTAATTTTAAATTTAAAAAAAAAAATAATCCGTAACCTAATTTCTAATACTTGTCTAAAGTGTATTGATCAAATTAATAATTAAATAAAATTAAAAGAAAAAATAGACTTTCAAAGCAAAAGTTGTTACTGTGACAGATTAATATCACATAAAGTATATATATGCTTGGGCAATAAAAGTTTGTATGAACATGAACGAGTGCAAATAAAAAGGGCCCTGTATTTTGATAGACCAAACTCTTTTATGAGGCCACGACCCACATTAAGGCCTTGATTCACGGAATCTCCCATTAACTCACATTTGTTGCCTCAAATGTATTTTGGATCCAGCAGCAATATAAAATTAGGTCCTGCATTTTTTGGGTTCACCAACTGCATTTTCGAACCATGAATATCCTTTTTGGACGGAAACCATGAATATCCTTCACCAACTAGATTTATGATATCCATTCCTTAGAGGGCTGAAGCTGGTTCCCAGAAAGGGCAAATGTTTTCAATTTTTCATTACAACTTCGAGGGTTTCCATAAATATGCAGCTGATGAAGAATGGTCCTGCAGGATTTTCATCGAGCCCCATGATCCAATGTCACGGAGAAAATAAAATATTAACTATGTCGTCCATCGTTTTAGTAAAAGCTTATTTCATGTGTTGTGCTTGCATTTTGTTCAGAATGTTTCGTACTTGTGCTAAGAGGCGGAGCTAGAATTGTAAGATTGGGGGAGGGTGAAATAGATAATACAAGTATATTAAATGCATAAGTTTTCAGAAGTTACATGTTAGAGCTAGATATTTCTAACTTAATATGTACAATTTGTTTTAGATGAGCCATTAGCTTAAATTACAAGTTGTCTATTACTCGTGTAATATATTAGAGGAGAGATGTGAAAAATTGAGGGGCCAGTGCCACTCTAAGCTTTAGATTACGTTGGTGATAATCCGACTCGTTTTACACTTGCAGAGGAAATTTATGACCTAGAAAAGAAAACAGTATGAAAGTAGTGTGATTGGCAAATAGATATTTCCAGCCGAAAACAGAAGATAAAAGCAACAGAGATAAACCATCCCCAGTTCACGAGCCTAACAGTAAAGTTCAGAAACCCAAAAAGGCAACCTTATCAATAAGCTCGCTAGCTTTTTGATCATGCAGGACATTTTGCAAACCCTTCTGAATGATGCCGATAAACATTTATGATTTTTCTAAGATGAAACAGAACAGACCAATTAAATTGCTGATGTTTTATTTGTTCATATTTAATTACAATAAGTGATAGATGTACTACCAATTACCAAAATGACAAATTGTATTATTGATAGCTAAAATTTGAAAAAAAAAAGAATGAAAAAAAGTAAAGGTGATAAGATCAACTTCCATGTCACTAGTAAGTTTTTCTGTTTCAAAGAATCTTTAGAGTTACTATAAGTGGTAAGATACTTATGGAAAGGCAATAACTTTGCCTTTGGATCGATTGTTATATTAAGTGATTAGTATAACCCTGCATGCTTAAACATTGTCCACCTAACTTTCTAATAATGGTTTTCAACTATACTAAATAGTTTTATAATTCCTTTTCGTTATGGATTTCGAACCTCAATTATACTGAATAGTTTTATAATTCCTTTTCGCTATATTAACAGACTAATAATTTAAAATATACACGTCATGCCAGATTAACAATATACCTTACCTTATAGGGGAGTGCTATTTGCGCTTCCCTTTTGTGTTTGTTCGTTCATTCAAACAAGAGTGACAACAAGAATTTGAAAAGCGCAAACAACGCTATTTGATATGTAATAATTGAAATTCAAATAAAATTAAAACTCTGATTTTTTTTTATTTCTTCCTTCAACTTATCTAAAAGTGTCTTGACATATTGTGTATTAATGATTTAAAAATGAGTTCCTTGTGTTTTAAACTTGAGTTAGTTTTAAGTTTATGTGTGAATCGTGGAATTGTGGAATTGTGGAGGTTTGGATTGGATGTTTTATTCGATTTAGCAAACATGTTGAAAAGAAAGTTGAAAGATAGAGTTGGAGACGGAAATTTGAAGCAAACATTGTTTATATATTTGTTAGGCTAAGCATTTTGGATTTGGTAAAGTAAATTAAAGTTTTATATATAGGCCGTAAAGTTTGAAGCGGTCATGCTCATGCCCTTTGCCCCTTTGGCACACAAAAGGAGCGCATCACACAAAGCAAAGCAGTGGAGCAAGCGGATGGACAGCAAAACGCCGTCGCTTCGTTACTCGTGATCACAAATCCCCCAATTAAGAAGGGAATAACCCAATAATAACCCATTACAAATTGAATCTTGTCAGCGACCCACGTCACCATGTGGGCCCAGCACTTAAAAAATGAAAAATTTAGAAAAAAAGAAATTAAGAAAATTAAAAAGAAAGAGCAGAAAAAGAGTCAGAGTCACACAGACGAGACCCACCCTAACAACATCACCAAGCGAAGAGAAGAGAAGAGAAGAGGAAGAAGAAACAAACAAAAAAAAAAAAAAAAAAACTGAAGAATCAATTTTTCCCACTTTCTTCACCACACACACATATATATTTAACGCCACCACCCCTCTTGACCCACCCCCCATATATATTTTTTCAAAACCCATCTCCTTTTCTTCTCTCATTCATTCATCCGCCACCCTACTTTCTCTCTCTAAAGCCTTTTCTCTGTCCGTCTGTCTCTCTCTCTCTTTCTAGAACCATTTGCTGAGAGGATGGTGGTCAAAGACGAGTGGATGAGAGCGGCGATGACCGACGACATGCTCGTCGTGGAGCTTCTGGTGCGGCTCAAGCAGTCGCAGACGGCCGCCTCGTCTTCCTCGTCTCCGTTGTTGGAGTCGATTCCTCTCAGGTGGGGCATCCGGCTGCCACGCTCCAAGTCGGCGTCGTCGGCGTCCAGATTCGACGGCGTCGTTTCGCCGGGGCGCAGACAACCCCGCAGCCCGGGCCCCGCCCCCCCCCCAAGATCCAGCCCCCCCCCGCCGCTCCCCGGGAGCGGCGGCACCGGCTCCCCCTCCGCCACCGCCGACGGCTTCGAAGAGTCCAGCTGTCCCAGATCCAAGGTCTCCATCTCTCTCTCTCTTTCTCTGCTTTTCGCTTTTTTGTGCTTTGGATTTCCCGCTAGCTGATCTCTGCTTGCTGTGTGTGAAGTGAAGACTCTTCGAGTCTCTTTTTTAATTGACGGAAATACCCACGGCGGTTGTTCGTATTTGCGTCTGGTTCTGCTTAATAAGCAGAGACCAGAGCCGCACGAGCCTCAGTGTTCATGAGGCGGCTGAGGCTTTTAGCGTGTTGGTCGACGACACACGCATTTCATGGCTTCTTTTTCACTTTACCATCTTCGGCCTTCTTCCTCTACCTAATTTACCTTGTCATCAGTTTTTCCGTTTTCTAATCTGGATTTCGAAACCGACGTTTCTGATTTCCTATCGCGTTTCGTTTGTCGTCTCTTGAGCTGCTAATGCTGACGAGGTCAAATTCGTCATTTCGTTATCTTCTTTAGATTTTTCCTTCTTTGGTTAGCTCGATAATCGCCGGCGGTCAACCCTCTGTAGCCGCCGTGTACAACGTCGTTCGCACAATTTCATGACCAAAATGCCCCTGACCCGCGTGTGCCTTTCCATATCCCTCACGTGATGTAGCAGATCGAGACCTCCTTCACGTTTTCGTCTCGCTCCTTTTGCCGGTAACCTGCCTTTCTTGATTCGCCTGCGAGATTTACCAAACTACCCTTCCAAACTCCTCCCTAGATTCTGATCGCCAAAGGACACTCCCGTCAATTATGAGATTTACCGCAGAGAGTGAAAACCGCGAAACTTCCCTGAGACGACGAGCTTACTCGTCTGATCCCTTTTTGCTCGCGACAAAAGTCTTATCTCGCGTCGAGTCAAAAGTACGAATATAGATGGGCATAGCAAACAGCAGGAGGGCATTTCGGTCATAGTAATAAAAAGGGGGGTAGGGTGTGGTGGTGACGTGGGCCTATCTTAAAAGCGTGGTGGGGCCATTTGGGAGAAGTGAGTTTTGCCTAGGGATAGGTCTGCGTTCGGTTTGGTGTGGCGTTGTTAGTGGGGGTTGCTGGGGTAATTTTCCTATGTGACGCGGGCGCAGTCAGCGGCTTTTATGGACCATCATCTCCTTTGATAACGCTTTTCTTATTCTTATGCTTTCTGGAGATCCAGAGAAACTCGATGTGATGGTCGTGGCCGCTGATTGGGGGATTGAGTTTTTGGGGTATGCGAATCTGACGGTCAAGGATGGTTTGGTGAGAGTGGTGGCTGTGGTCCTTGTCGCTTATTTAGTTTAAAGAATTACGATATATATATTTTTTTTTATTTTTGGACGACGGGATTTGGGTTCGGTGTATGGACTATGGAGGAGAGGAGGCCATGGGAGGAGAAGCAGAGGCGTGTGAGCAAGTCACGTGAGGAATAACATAAGGAGCTTGTCATATGTGGCCACGTGGATATTCATGATGTGAATTTCTAAATGGGTTTAAGCTTACTCATGATTGGGATAGGGAAGCTTTATCCGAAGTCCAGAGAGACGGTAAATTTAATTGGCAAAGGAATAATTATTGTAGGCTTCTACTGGATTGGTGAAAGTTTTGAGATTTAAAGAAAAGAAAAGAACTTGGTTTTTGGTGTCCTTTTATGATATGTCCGCGTTTCGCTTTTTGTGGGTGTATTCGCTGAAGTGTGATATGTCTCTCAGGGAACTGCTACGTATGAATCCACCAGCACCACCACTGCCACCAAGAGGGCAAGGAGAAAGAAGGTAGACCCAAATCTTCTTTTTGGCTCCCACTTGGTTTCATGTTCAAGATAACAAACAACAATTATTTAAAAGAATGCAATGAGAATTGATAATTAATTAGTTTTGATTCTTTTATTTATTTATTTGTTTAGTTACTGTCATTTTCTAATCTCCAATAGGAGGCTTTTTAACTTCGATCTGATATGGACCTGGATGTCATTTTACAGACGTTTGCTGAGCTTAAAGAGGAGGAAAGTTCGTTGTTGAAGGAAAGGACATATTTGGAAAAGGAAATAGCGACCTTACAAGCAACTTTTAAGCAACAAAGAGCCAAAAATGACAACTTTAAGAGAATCAAGGTGAATTCTGCTGTTCTTTATCCTATATATATATATATATATATATATTTCTATTTTTCTTCTAGGATCCTTTCTCCTGGATCTGCCCTTTTGTCCTTTAGATTAGATACAATTATTTGCATGTGCATTATGATACGGTAGTTGATATGGCTTTTTGCTGAATACCATATAATTTTGTTTTGCAGCTCGACTTGAACATGCATCCTGCTAGGAATTTGAGTGCAAACTTTGATGGAGCAGGGAAAGCAATTTCCAGTCAACCCCACGAGAGAACAGCTTCGAGCACTCCCTCAAATTTGCCTCCACATCCAGAAGCACAATCCGATTCTTACAGTGAACGCGAGGCTGTTTCAACCCGAGACAATTCTTTCTTGCTGCCTGATCTAAACATGGAGCCGTGTGGAGAGGAATCTGGTTCCGAAACGCTATACGGGATGAGCTGAGGAAAGCATGGGTAAATGCATTATGCTTTCAATGAAGAAACTGATTGATTTGCCAGTATAACATAGCACATTCCAGGAACTAGCTCTTCATAAGTACTGCAAGTAGAGGTCAGTCGGCGAGTATCCAGTGAAGTTACAGATATAACCTGATCTGGATCCGTTTTACCTAAGTTTTGAGGGTTTTTAGTAAATTGGCAGTCATAGCCATTAGGCTGTAGAGGCTTCTGTTTATGTCACAGCTGTTGCTGCTTTCCTCTGGAAAATTCTTTGGGGTAAACCCTCGTTACTTTTAATGTTCAAATTATTTAGATCATAAATTTGTATCATTCTTTGTAGGTTTTAAAAACCCTATCTGAAATCCAAGTTATAGTTTTCAGTCACCACAATTTCAACTTACAGACAGGTGTCAATGACTCATTGTATTATTGATTATTTTAAGTTTTCAAAATTGTGTATTTTTATTTTTACAATATTAGAGCATTCACAATGGGCTCCTTAAACCACCTCCTTAGATAAATTTTAGGAAGGAATAATAAAAATGCAACTCTAATCAAGTTCCCTATTCACCTCCTAAAATAGGGAGTCCTCTAGGAGCTTTTAAATATGAGGAGAGAGAAATGATTTCTAGTGGCTTTTTACAATTTAATGTTACTTTATTTAATGAGTGTTTTAAATTTTTATTTAATACTATTTATTTTTTATTTTATTTTTTAATAGAGATGGATAAATCAAAAAAGAGTTGTAGCATTTATGACTCTCCAAATTAGGGAGTACGATTGAAGTTGAAATTTTTTAAAGAGCTTTTAAAATAGTTTTCTTATATTCTTAGTTAAATTTTAGCTAAGAAATAAAGAGCATAATTATAGATGCTCTTAGTCTGTCAATTTTTGTGTCCATTACTTTGATGTCAATTTTGTGTACTTCGGGACATCTATCCACGCCATAATTATATATGCAGACACGCGTCCCTTAAAGTAGAAAGTCATGATTACATTATTGTATATAAATAAGCACTTTCAACTTTGACTTCGTGAACTCGTCTGCATGCCATGCACCTACACATAAGGAGGGTGGGAAAGATGCTAATTTTGGAGGGTAAATAACATTTAAATATAGGGAGCTGATTTCCCCACTCCATTTTTCTCCACTTACACTCCTTTTTATTTTTTAATACTTTTTAATCAATTTTACTCTTTTTTATTCTTTATTTTTCCTATTTTACCCTTAATGATGTGGCAAGTGAGCACTTTGGAGAGGGGGTTGTTGCTGGGGAAAATATTTTGTTTGTTTTTAAAATAATAATTTTAAAGAACTCATCCATCCATTGAAAATGGGGTGTAAGTAAATTAAGTTTTAAAAGATAATAATAATAATATAAAAGTGAAGTAAAAATAAATTAATGTAGGTAAGGGTATAATTGGAATGAGCAAAAACTTAAAAAACAAAATTGATTAAAAAATATTTTAAAATAAAAGGGAGTGGGAAAATCAGCTCCCTAAATATATACTAGTTTCTCCACATGCGCTTCCGCTCCTGCAAGAGACATTTTTTTTGAATTAAAAAAGATAATGGGTAGTTGTGTTGCATAAAAATATATCTATTATCTGATTTTTCTTTTAAGTTTAATTTTTTTTTTAATATGAAAGAGTGAATTTATTATATTATCTTCGTTTAATTAATAATTTCAAGTTTTAATATTTGCATAAACCAAGGGTATTTTATAGTATTTTGAATGTTTCATTATTCTCTACTTTTTGCTGAAAAAATCAATCATAGATAAACCATCTGATTGTGCTTTTTTTAATTGTTGACAAAATGGTATTTTAAATGAGACTAGGTGTATTAAATGTGGGACGCGCGTGCTGATGGTTTTGCATTTTTACCCAAGGGAAAATGTGATGATGGACGCGACGCATGAACCACATTTCGAGCCATTTTGCTGAAAAAGTCTAAAGTAATCACATTTGTGGTTCTTTTTGGCATCAAGTGAACAGCATTTGGTCCTTGAATGGATAAAGTGCTTTTGAAAGAAAAACTCCTACACATAAATGGAAGAGTATCCAGCTGAAATACGAAAGAGAGATGATAGCCCGTGCGAAGACTTTGGATCTATAGTTCCATAAGTGGGTTCTGAATTACTAGAAAAACACATGCCAGTGATGGCAACTTTTATGCAGAGTGTTGTTTGAGCTGATCTTCAACAAGCTCAATACAGCGGTACAAAACTAATTCAATTGGGTTTAAAGTACAAAACGCCTCAAGGGAAAGATCACAATCATTCTTGTTCTCTGCCATTATGGCTGTGACCACAGTACGTAGAGGTAGAAGCCACTCGTTATAGGCTCTCTGTAAATTGCTTCTGGACACCGCTCCGGTGTAGTTAGTTTTTCCTGTGCCATTTTTAATCAGGGTAAATATAGTAAAAAATGAGACTCGTAAACAAGCATTTTCTTTCTAAAGGAAAAAGTAAAGACTCGCACAACACAATATAATTTGCTGTCATGTTTTCCACATTTGCTATTGCTTTAACTCAATGATGGGCTATTTACCTGTTGATTCTGTTATTAATACAAATCTGTACAGGTTGAGTGCAGACAGAACCTGTAGAAATTGTACGGAACTTGTGAAACGATTTAGAACAGGTTTAACCAATAAGCATCAACAAGCCTAAACAATAAGAGTCTGTACTCTCTACTGAGCCTTGACAATTAAGACATGTTTTTGTCATTTTGTTGCCTTTCATTGACGTATCAAATTTGACCTCAAATATCTTTGACAGAGACAAAACCTAGATACTCAAATATCTTCATGTCAGTTCATTTCATGAGGGATTGGCCTATTGTGCAACTAAAAAACTGCTCTGCAATGAAACGACATACAGCAACAATTGTGCAAGTGAAGAATATATTCCACATAACATGGTTCCATTATTGGTAAAGATGACAATATGTCCAAAGAAGTGAGGGAGGAAAAGAAGATAAGTTCAGGAATCCAAGACCGCAGAGATTTGAAGATTTGTATTTGTAGCAGTTAAACAAGATTATTGGCTGGCTATATTAGGCGAATCTATGGTTATGTGAGACCAATCCTAGTTGAAAGCAAACCAAGCATCCCTAATTGTGGGACAGCTAAGGAATTGTAAAACATATCTTTAGATGCTATTGCAATCTTAAATTTGAAGCTTATCGACATAAAATAAATATCATGCATAATATATTGGTATATAAAACATAGAGAATTCAGTATTATAAGAAATTTATAAAACGAATTTAACAAAGCACGTGGAAGAAATACCGCATCACTATCCTTGGGAAAGGATGGAGGTCCCCCCTCCGGGGGTCTTAGAATCATCTCCACCAATGCAAGGACATTGGGAGTCCAAAGCACTGTATGTGGATGTGATTTATACTGTGCTTGCAGAACTTCGTCATTTCCTAGTCTATGGCGACTTTCCTTGTGCATTTCCCCTTTAACAATATCTAAAAGAATTGCAATCTGTATAAGGTTGAAACACCCACATTAGGTAATGTCGCATCAAGTCTAATTTGACAAAAAAGAGAGGAAGGAATACATATCAAAAAAACTGGCGCTCAAGGTTTTACCATAGAGGAAGAATCACTTTTTGTGATCAAAGCCTTTAAAATGTCAAACCTCTGAGAAGTTGGAATATCAGCAAGAATCTGGTTTTGATGGTAAACATAAGTAAGTATTAATGTTAATTTACTCTAAACCAAATGAAGTAGAGTACATTCTATACAAAAGCTTACTACTAAATGACCATAGGCTGAGCTATTACTCGCTAATTAAAAATGTGACAGAATACATATATTATAGGTAAACGCAACACTGAGGAAAAATAACACAAATCCTCACCCTTTTGAATGCTTCAAAGGCATTCTTCCGGAGCACTGTATCTGATGCATATATGATGACCATTTGCACAGCCTAAAATGTACCATGCCCACAAGAGGTGAAAAAAAAAACAGATTAGACTCTTTTCCTCTTTGATAAATATGAAACTCCTGCAACGTATAATGATGGCAAGCGGCAACCTGCAGAGCAGCAAAAATGCTAGACATATAAGATGAGAAGTCATCATGTTCATCATAGTGGGGGATATTTCCATCTGTAATGCAGAGCAAGAAGTTGATGGCATGTTTTTTAAGTTCCCATGGCAGAGTGACAGGAGCTAGTATGTGCTTTAGCATGCCAACAGCTTGCCACCTTTCAGTCTGGTTATTCTTAAGTTCATCCCTGACAGAAGCCAAATCCTCCTCAGCAGCTCTAACAACCTCATCAGAGGCATGGCCCCAGATCACTTCAATAAAGCAACAGAAAAAACCAAAGCAAAACAAAGTTTCAAGCTAGAAAAAAATTGAGACAATAAGAAAAGGAGCAATCAGCATTCAGAAACATAAACCTGAAAGAGATGCCCCATGCTTGACATCGGATAAATTACTCATATAATCATCTTCATCCTCTGAGTGTGCAGAAATTAAGAACAGAAAAGAAACATCAAGGTCTAAAATTGGATAACAAATAGAGTGAACTATCATATAATACATGGGCAGGAATAGTAGTGATTCAAGGGATTTACCTCCAACTACAGTCCTGGATATTATGTCAACAACAGATCCAGTTATTACACCAAGATACGCCAAACCACAAAATGGGAAGAAACTAGACAGTTGCAATACAAAGGGCTGAGAACTTGAAACTTTGTGATTCATGCTAACAAGAGCCTGCAGATCAACAGTGTTTTTAAAAGAAAAAACATAGCAAACCAAATATGGGGGGCATGATATATAAAAGAGTCTAGATTGAAATTTTTTTTTTTGGGTAGATATATAACACAGATTTTTTTATAAATAAAACAGTGAAACTAGAACTTAGATTGTATGGAGGTTTGACCATAATCTGTAAAACATAAAGACCAAGTAGTGCACGAAGCTTATCATTTGCTCCACCTTCCTGTAGCATAGAACAAAACATCATTAGGTTCTGATACAGAATATGTTGAGAATCTCAGCATAGTCTTTAACCAGGAAAAACCATTGCATCAATTTGTCACATACCAACTTTACACAAACTGCACGTATGGAATTAGCAACGCTCATAGCTCTGTCAAACAAATTCTTAAATTCTGGATCTTCATCTTCCAACTCCAAAGACCTGGCCTTCAAAACTTTAACGATAATAGGAACTGCTACTTTCACTTGCTCAAAGTGACGCCTCTGAAGGGAAAGAAACACTGAAATTAACAAAAGAAAAAAAAAACAAAAATTAACAAAATAGTGCTATCATCGACTCAATTGGCAAAATTCAATATCCATCTATGACATATACAATAAATCTGATAACAATACCATTAGGGAAGCTC